GACCAGGCTTTTGAAATCCTCTCCTCCCATCCTAGAGCTACAGCCTGCACAGTCTCTTCGCTGTTGGGAGTGGGCAGCTTACCCTGACTGTTGCACCTCTGGACATGTGCAGAGGACACTGTGAGATGTTCAAGGTGGAGCTGGAAGCTGGAGATTTGGGTGAGTACCAGAGCTGTGGCATGCAGGGACTGGGAGAGCCCTTGGAATCAGGAGACTGCTTCCAGCTGGGTCTTTTCAGTCTGATACCTGAGATGGTGGTTTGTGCCATTGCCACCTCCAGACTGGTGTGTGCCTGCTTGCCACAGCACAGGGAGTGATCCTTCTGGACTGGGAGTTTGTGGCCTGGAACACCAACACTGGGATACCAGGGGTGCTCAAAGCTTGAGCAGTGTGGATAAACAATGGGTATTAGAAAGCCAGTGCCCACTGAGGGAAGTGTCCTTGCAAAGAGCTCCAGCATGACCACATCCCTTCTTGGGAAATGGGAGCGCTCGTTAAGGATGGATTCATCTAACACAGCCTCTCCATTGCCTCTTCCCAAGGTTATGCCAGCGCAGATCACTGGACAATGAGCTTCATGGCCAGAGGGACACAGCCAGTGGTGATTTGTGATGGAGCTGCCAGCTAAAGATGGTGGGGTGGGAAAACAGAGCTGTTCCCAGGACAAGAAGACTTTCAGCTTTGAAGCCAAGGCAACGTCTTGAGAGGAGCGAGCCAGGGCAACTGGGGCAGGCAGCTTTGCCACCCTGCATGTTTACAGTGTTTAAAAGTGACTATTTTCCTGACCCTTGAGGTAATCCTTTGCCTTTCCTCAAATGCATTTTGGGAGAAGCTCAAGCTATTTATGACCCTCCCTGTCCCCTCAGGTAAGCCCTGGGTTTGCAGCAAAGGGTTTTTTTCCAGGAGCAGCAGATGGATTTCTCAGGATGAGATTCACCTTGTGTTCTTTATGGATTATGGCACTTCTGAAACTTCCTGGGGGGTTTGGGAGTGGATGGGGTGTGTGACATTTCTGTGTACATTCCTCCTGAGGAGGAAGCTTTGAGCCTGTGTAGTCAGGCCAGTTCTATAAAGGGAAGGAATTGGTGATGCATCCCACTCTCCCTCAGTTCCGCAGGTGTGTGAGCCCTGCAGAGCTGATCTTGGCTCCTGCTCCCAGGCTGGGGAAAGCCTTGAGCCTGAGGGCAGAAACTCTCACCCACTTCATCCTTCTAGTACCAAAAGAATCCCTTCAGGCCTCTCTGTATTGTGGTCACCCTTCTGCAGCTCTCTGTCAGCAAGTTGTGAGTGAGTCAAATGGTAATTGTGTTTTTCTTCACCTCTGCTTCCTTTCCTGCAAAAACACCAACAAACACGTGTTAGTGGTGCTGGCAGTGCAGGAGTTCTTGATGGAGCTGGGAGAGAGCAGCTCTGTCCAACTTTCACCTCAGACACCAAGGGCTGCACAGCCATTCTCAGCTGCTCCTTGTTTTTGGAGGCACTGCCTGTGTTCCCAGCCCACGGTACCTCTGGGAGCACCTGAAACCTCCCTTTTCCCTGGCATATTTTTGTATTGACTCCTTCCAGACCTGGAACTCTGTCTTGAGAATGAACGTTGGTTTTTCCTGGGTCCTTTCCAAGCTGCCTTTGCTTGTTTCCTGCTGCTGGAGCAGTGCTGTCTCCAGTGCCCTGAGAGAGGCTCGGGTTCGGTGTTTGCAGGCTGCGGATGCTCCAGTCCCTTCCAAGTCTGATCCTTTGGGTCTGATCCCACTGCTGAAGATCATTTACAGATGTGTCAGGCTGAACTCATAGGCCAGGGCTGGAGTTCAGGACATACTCTCACACTTGTTAATATGGAGTTGGGAGGGGTTTTGGTCGACAGTGAGTTAACTCTGTTCTCAGGAGCAAGAGCCTTTTTCTCTGTAAATATTTTAGGTACATGTAAAATGACAGATTGGAAAATGTCTGTCCAGCCTTTGTTTTTGAGGAGAATGGGAGCAAACATTGTGCTAATCTGATTAGGAGCTGACAAAAGCTGCCAAGTGGGATGACCACTGGCTCCTGTACAAGAAAAAGGCAGAGGACAGTTCCTGCTCCAAAGAATTTAGTCTGAGGCCTTGACACTACAATCATTTCTATGCATAACCCTTGTTTTTCTCCTGTCAAAACAGTGAGAGCAAGCCCAGCACCTGTGTCGGTCTGTGCATGGCCCTCGGTGCTGGACACACACCAGATCTAGTAGAACCAAAGGGGGAGAGTCTGGCTCTCTCAGGATAGAAAAGGACTAATATAATTTGTTGCAAAGTATTAAAGAGAATTGGACTAATAAAACTTCCATTAGTATTCTCACTGCTTGGAGTGTATTTCACACTCATGACACTACATTCAATCCTGTACATGCCAAGACACACACACACACACCACCCCTCTCCCTCCTCTTAAAGCCTGGGTCTTACTTAATGGAAATTTGGGAGTTTGGTGATGGCAGAATTAGGGCCTCATTAGTGACTGTTGCTATTTACACTTTGGCAGCTTCTCAAATCAAATTCAAAGGCTGACAAGGTTACTTCACCTCTTACTGGTTTTGTATCTGACCCATTTTTGTAAAGCATTGGCTCAAAGCTGCTGCTGGAGCCGTTCTTGCTGAGATTGCGGCGGTTCAGTGACACTGTCACTGCTAAGTGTCCTTGACTGTAACTTGTAAAAGAGCTGCGGAGACAATTCCCAAGTGTCTGTGAAATGCCTGGATTTTGAGAGTCACACTTAAGCTATTGTGGCTGTCTGGCTCTTTGGAGAAGAAGCAGAGAAAATGGATCTATTTACAGTTGCTGTTTGGACTGGGGGGAGGAGGGGGAGGAAGGGGCAGGTTTGTGCCTGTTTAGCAGAAGTGCTCTCACTAGTGCTTCTCCCTTCCTCGAAGAGTTGCAGCTGGTTGGACAGGAGCTGGTGAGTCTGGCCTGTGTGCAGAGCAGCCTTCCAAGTGCACTTTATGGGCTCTGCATAAGTTTCCAGCTCTGTCTCAGCGATACATTGCATATGTCCCAGCCTCGCTCCCTTCGGAGTTTACATCATTTGTTTTTAAGCTCTCCGGTATATTTTCTCTTCCTCTTCCAAAAGCTGTAAGGAATTAGCTGCTAAACTAAAACAGGAGGGCAGTTCTCCTGCTGATAAAGAGCCGATTTTGGCCGAAGTGCAGAGCTCCAGTCTGCAGCACAGCTTCCAGAGCAGCTCCTGTCTCCAGCTGCCAGAGGAGTGGTGCTCACACCTTCCACATGCCAGGGCAGGTGAGGAGCCGCGGTGGGAAATCTGGAGGTGAGGCCACAATGGCAAAACTGGGATGGCAAAAGGGAGGATTTAATACCTTTACTGCAATTAAGCCCTGGTCATCTTCCACATCCAGAGCTCCAGCTTCACAGAGTCCCTGGAAAGGCTGCAGGACTTCCCTAGAGAAGGGGTCCTAGGGGCCTGCTGAGGTGGAACTGGGGGGAACAGGGCTGTTCCTGCAGCTACTGAGGTTTCACAGCCGTGATCAGATGTCATGGAGGGGGTGTCCCACTGTAGTCTCCCTCACCTCAACTTCCCTTTTGCACGCTCTGTGCTGGTTTGGACAATCTCCCACTCCCACTCTGCCCAGTTCACAGGGGTTCCCAGTCAGCACATTTTAAAATCCCTTTGTGTGCTTCAGAGCTCATTGCCTGTGAGCTGGGAGATTGATTCCTCCTCTCCCCACAACCCAAGGCTGTAAAGCTGCTCTGAAATCACACCAGAAATCGGTACTACCCACGAGCTCAGTGGGCAGAGGTGAGGAGAGGTCACCTCTGCACTTGCCAGGCTGGAAGGACGGGCTGTCCTGGTCAGCTGGGCAGGAGGATCGTGGTTTAAAGCTGCTCCCCAAAGCAGGGGTCACTGACCAGTGCTGTCAGTCAGTCCTGAACTCAGGGTAACTGAAAGGAGGAGAAAGGATTATTATGATTTACTTCAGTACCAGGAAATCAGTGGCCCCCACGGGAGCCAAGCTGGCAGTTTCTATTGATTCTTTCTTTTGCTTTCTTTGTTCCTTTTCATTTTTTTCCCTGCCCACTGTTATTGCACACATTGATTCCCCCGAGGGGTCTCTTTGCAAGGCTCTGGAGAGCTTTGAGTCAGATTTCCCGTGAGTCTCCAGACCTCAGTTTCTCCCACCAGACCTGTTTTTGCAGTGTTCTGGAGAAGCTGGTTTAACTGGGCTGGATCAAAGCACCTCCCTGCCCTCGTGGCCTCCTGGGCTCCAGCAGCAGCAGGAGGTGATGGGGAGCAGGGGAGCATCCCATGGTAGAGATGTGAGCTCTGTAAACACCAGTGTCTCAGAAGAGGGGATCCTTCTGCCTTGAAACCCTCTTGTTCCCTCCCTCCAGGAGGGAAGTTTCCACACACCCCAATCCCAGGTAGATGTTCAGCCCTGTGGCCCACAAGAGAACTGAGCATTTCCTGGGATGAGGCCATTTTGGTGGGTACACAGAGCTTTTGCTTTCTGCAAACCAAACTTTGTCCTCTTGGTAAATTTTATAGGTAGAACTCGATACCCTCCTCTTCAGGAACCTCCTCCTTGTAAAGGGCAGATTTAGTGTCCTGCTGAGTTAGACAAGGGAGATGCTGGATTTCCCTTTGCTTTGGAGATTCAAATGGCAGGTGATTTATTTTTAGCATTATCTCCTTGTCTTGGGGAGGGGAGCCACATTCTTAAGGCTCAGAGGTGCTGGGTAAAGCTATATATGCATAAAGACTGTTTCAATGCTGAACACTAAATTCAGTGATGGATTAAAAAAAAAAAAGAATGTGAATATGCACTTAATGCAGAATTTTATGGATGGTCCTAATTTAATATATTGCAAACTTTGTAAATACTTGGGAAAAGCCTGTAAAGTGTGTAAATAAATGAGATTTGTATGTAAGAAGAATAAAAAATTTTTAATTTTTGCAATTAAATACAAGTGTTAATGACCCTTTTCCCATTTCCTGATTTTTATTTTCATGTTGCATGTCAGCTATTGTGGGGTTATTTAACCTTTTTTAGGTCACTTTTTCTAAAAGAAATGTAATTTTAAATGAAAAGTCAGAAACACTTTTGTTAGAAAAATGTCATAAAGAAACATTTTGTGAAAAAGGAGCAGTTTGGGAAATGTTCTGTGGATTTTAGCCCAGTTCTCTGAACAAAATTGATGCAACAGCTTTGCCTATCCCTCCTTTCTTTTCTTCCCAGTAACAATCTCCATCTTCCCATCACAATTCAGTTGATTTTAGCCAAACTTTGAAGCGTGGAAGGCGATAAACTCCTCCAGAGCTCATAAATCCGGGCGAGTAGGGAGAAGAGAGAGATCCTGTTACTCCCACAGCAGTGCAGGAGCCTTGTCAGACAGCGGCCAGCCCCACTGGAGACCCTCGAGACGTGAGTCAGTAGCAACCCAGGCTTGGTCCCTCCTGTGCTGCAGAGTGGGGCCTCTGGAGCCAGCAGGCTGGAGCAGAGCCTGTCAGGTGTCGGTGTGTGGCTCCTGTCCCCGGGGTGTGGGGATGGGCTGTTCCTTGAGCGAGCAGAAGGAAAGCTGCATTCCACATATCCTGTCCCCACAGAACTGATGGTTTGGTTATTCCAGCCAGCCCTGAGGGCAGCCACAGACTCTCAGCTTCCCTGTTTGGGGCAGTTTCAGCTCTGTACCCTGTTCTTCCTCTCCTGCTCCCCCTTCTCCTGATGGTTGAGGGAAGAGGCATCAACCCTCTGCTTTCCCCTGATCCCAGCAGGCTGGGGGAGCCCAGGGGCTGCTCCTCAGCTGCCAAATGCTGTCCCCCCAGCACAGACATGGGGCTGGCTGAGGTGGGCTCTGACTGTCTCGGGAGTTGCTGTGCTGCAAACTGCTCTCAGCAATTGCATCTTGCTGCCTTTGTTTCTAACGCAGCTGCAATTCCAGGGATAGAGTTCTCTGTGAAAACAGGGCTTTGTTAATTGTTATAGGGTGTGGATGACACTGGTGGGTATTTACTACAGGGCACCTGTGAGGAGCAGGAAGTTGATGAGGTTTTCTATGGGCAGCTGGAAGTAGCCTCATGGTCACAGGTCCTGGTTCTCCTGGGGAACTTCAACCATCCTGATATTTGTTGGAGAGACAACACAGCCCACCACAGGTGGAAATCCAGGAAGTTCCTGCAGATCATTGAAAATAACTTTTTGATACAAGTGGTGGAGGAGTCCAGGAGGAGAGGTGTGTTTCTGGACCTTAGGAGGGGCTGGTTGAAGATGGGAAGGTTGAGGAAAGCCTTGCCTTTCACCATGTTATGGTGAAACTCGATCCTGTATGGGGAAGCAAAGCAGTAGCAGGGCTAGAACCCTGGTTTTCCAGAGAGCCAGTTCAACCTTTCCAAAGACCTACTCAGACGAATCCCATGGAATAGGACTCTAGAAGGGAAGGGGGCCCAAGAAAGCTGGTCAGTATTCAAGCATCCAAATTCAAGACCTGTGTACCTCCATGATCCAGAAATCAAGCAAAGGGGGCAGGAGGCCTGCATGGAAGAGCAGGTCTAGCAATTCTCAAATGGAAGAAAAATTTATGGGATGTTGAAAAAGGGACAGGCACTTGAGAGATCTATAGGAACATGTTCAAGATATGCAAGGATGCAATGAGGAAGGCCACAGTCCACCTGGAATTGAGTCTGGCAAAGGATATCAAGAACAAGAGCTTCTCCAAATACATCCGCAGCAAAAGGGAGAACAGGGAACGTGTGGGGCTGCTGCTGAATCCAGTGGGTGTCCTGGGCACAGAAGACACAGAGGAGGTGAAATTACTCAACACATTCTTTGCCTCAGTCTTTACTGCTGAGAGCAGCAATCAGGAATCCCAGACACTGGAAATAAGAGATGAAGGAGGGAGAAAGGAAAACTTCCCCTTGGTCACAGAAAGTTGAGAGAGATCAGCCAGGCAGACTTAATACCCATTAATCCATGGTGGGATGCACCCAGAGCTGCTGAGGGAGCTGGCAGAGGTTGTTGCTTTAGCCACTCTCCATCATCTTTAAAAAACCCTGAAGAATGAGACAGGTGACCAGTCACTGCAGAAAATGGTAACTCCTGTTTTCACAAAAGGCAAGAAAGATGATCTGGGAAACTCCTAGCCAGTCAGCCTCACCTTCAACCCTGGAAAGGCGATGGAACAGCTCATTCTGAAGATCATCACCAAGCATCTGAAAGTAAAAGAAGTTATGGGGAGTGGTCAGCATGGATTCACCAAGAGGAAATCCTGCTTGGCCAATCTGATGCTTTCTATGATGGCACAGCAGGATGGGGTGAGAGGAGAGCAGTGGGTGGTGTCTACCTTAACTTTAACAAGGTTTTTGACACTGTCCCATAGCATCCCCATGGATAAACTCAGGAAATGTGAGTGGATGGATTCTAAGATTTTGAGAAAAAGGACAGGAGGTAGAAGAGGGGACCCATAACTGAGGGCTCAGGAGATGGCTGACGTTTGGAGGAACAGGTTTGGATGAAGAATGCCAGTCCAGGGGTTAGGATTCAGGCATGGGGAGTGACCATGCATGTTTGTTGGCACCAGCCCCAGGGCAGCCTCTCCATCAAGGCCAGTATGTGACACGGGTGTGTCTCATGGGGCTCCAAAACTCTTAATAAATACATTTCCTCCCCAATCTTCAAGCTGTTGGGTGTTCCTTGCTTTTGGGAGGTGCTTTAAATCTGACTGCCAGAGCCGTGGGCTGCTGAGAGCAGAAGCTGCCTGCACGATGCTGAGCTCGGGTCTTCCTCCCGTTCTCCTGGTGCTCTCAGTGCTGGAGCTGAGCTGGTCCCTGAGTGATGAAGAAAAGAAGATCATCTTGGATGAGCATAATAGATATCGCTCCCAGGTCTCTCCTCCTGCCAAGGCTATGATGAAGATGGTAAGTGGCTTTTATTACAGAGGAATATTGGGGTGTTTGTGTGGTCCAAGGCGTGATCTTAATGCAAGGAGGGATCAGGGTGTTCCTTAGTGGAGGAAGAGCAATTCTCGTGTAGGGTTACAAGTCGGTGTCAATGGAGGGGTTCCCCAAACTGCCTCTAAAGAGAAGAGTTTCCTTCACCTCTGGAATTGTCTTTGATCATTTTCTGCAAGTTCCTAAGTGTGCTGTGAGTCCCCTGATGCTCTTCATGAGAGTGATGCAGCTCTCACTGACGTGAGTGCCTGCTGGAGCTCCCTGTGGTGGCAGGAAGGGCAGGTGAGGCACTGCCATGAGCAGGTGCTGTGATGTGGAGACTTTGCCAAGAGCTGGTGGGGGAATGCTGCTGTGTGGGACATCACACAGCACTCTGTATTTGCATCAACTTCAAACATGTTGGTCAAGTCTGTCAGTTATTTGGGCTTGTCATACTTCTCACCTTGCCTTGTGCAGAGCTGCCTTGAACATGAGGGATCCCCTGTTTTGCTTGAGGAAATTAAGTCAGGTCCCACATCACATGTGGCTGCAATGAGAGCAAAACCGAGCTCTAGAACTGGTGCTTTTTGTCTTGTTCAGACTCTTGATTTGATTAAAAGTTGGCTATCAAATTTTATCTTTCACCACATGTGATTTTTCCTCACTGTTTACAAATCATGGGGAGGAGAAGGACTGCTGTTTATCCTGGAAAGTTGGAGCCCTTTCCTCCTTGGGTAACAGTGTGCTTGTAGGACACCTCCCCAAAGTTGCCCAGGCTGAGTAAAGCCTTTGTGGGCTGGTAAATGGTAAAAAACAAACCAAAAAAGCTAAAAGTTAAATTCAGAGAGAGGAGGTCTAACCAGTGACTGCAGACTCAAAGGGGACAGACCCAGAACCCTCAGCACTGTGATAGTTTCTCCACGCTGGGTTGAGGATGCTCCATGATGGTGTTATATGAGCTCCAGGAGAGGTTGTGAGGGTCGTGCTGGTGCCCTGACCTTCTCCTGTCTGACCCATAAACCAAGGTTTAGTTTGTGTTGGGACTGATCATGGAAATCCCCTGTCCTGAGGACTGTGTTAGGGAGGGTTTTCAATTTTCCTCTTGGATGGGGAAACTGTGGCCAGACAGTGCAGGGGTCCTTGGTAAGTGCCTTGTTTGTGTTGGAGAGCCCAGTGTCCCTCTCTGTGTGCTGACACCGAGCTCCTTTCAGACCTGGGACACAGACCTGGAGATCTGTGCATGCAGAGAAGTGCATCTGGGGCCAGAATGGAGGCCCAGGAAGGGAGAACCTCTTTGCTATGGCCCCAAGCCTGGACGTGAAATTTGCCGTCGAAGAATGGAACAGGGAGAAGAAATTCTACAACTTGATAACATCCACGTGTGTCCCTGGGCAGAAATGTGACAGCTACACCCAGGTACCAGCTGCTGGGGTGGAGGGGCTGTTGGGACAGGAGCTGTACCAGTGCCCCAGCTCCTCCCAAAATCCTTGCAGAAGGACAGGGAACCAGGTGGGATTCATGATTACAGAGTAGGACCTGCTGTCATCCATGAGCCTTTTGGAGAAGACCGTTTTTGAGACAAGCTCTGCAACCCTTTTTTTGGCTGCTCAGCAGAGCTGCTCAGCAGAGCTCAGTGCCAGCTTGTCTTGGGTAGAAGGATGAGGTCTGAGTGTTTCTTCACAGTTTGGGTGAGAGCAAGGAGGAGAAGAGATGGTGATGGTAAGTGCATGGATGGATGGATGGATGGATGGATCCAGGACCAAAGCAGAGCTGGTGATGCTCTGCCTGGGTAGACTGTATGGTAGGAAACCTGTGGCACAGGAATATATGACCTTGGGAAGGTGGTTCAGACAGGGACAAGGAGGAAGATCCTGAATGCCAAAGCAACATGAGGATGTGGGATCTGGGGTACACACTGGGAGATGAGGAAGATACTGGAGCAGCCTTTCAGGTCAGGGGAGAGCATGCCTTCAGCCATCACCTCACCTTCAACCATGGTCTTTGCCTTAGGTGGTCCGGGCAGGAACAACTCACATTGGCTGTGGGAACAGTTATTGTAAGAAGATTGAGGGAATCGAAAAAGAGAACACACAGCTGCTTGTTTGCAGCTATTATCCCCCATAAGTTCCAGGCCCAGTGCCCATCCCCTGCTCTGTTCTGAGGGGGGTGAGGGATCTGCTCCATGGAGTTGTCTGCCCTGGCTTTAGCTGCCTTGGGGTCAGGCTGGTGACTAAACAGCCCTGACAGGCCATGGCAGCTCTTTATCTTGGCATTTTCTGTTTCCAGGGGTAACATGAAAGGCAAAAAGCCCTACACGGAAGGACCCTCGTGTGAAACGTGTCCCACGGGCACAGTCTGTGTGAACAACCTGTGTGGTGAGTGAGCAGAGCCGCGTGTGGCCCTGGAGGGGCTGTTGGGACTGAGACCCTGGGCTGGGTCTGAGCTCTGAACCCTCCTGGAGCTCTCAGGAAGCCCTTGAACTGCATTTCCAGGGCTGGAGCAGGAGAAAGGACAACTGCCTTAAGATAAGGAAGGGCTTGTACCCCATTAGGCAGCATTATTTGCCCCTTGCATGGCAGGAGGTTGTGAGGGACATGGGATGTCTCCAGGTTGGGAATCCTGGAGTGGGGAATGGCCCAGAGTGATCTGAGAGGGGTCAGCCTCTGTTTCAGCCCCTCACTGGCTTCTGCTGGTCCTGCTCAGTGCAGGGGATCCATTGAGGTCAGCTGAGCCAGCCCTAACCCAAGGCACTTTTCATTTGAGGTCAGCTGAGCCAGCCCTAACCCAAGGCACTTTTCATTTCTGCATCTCTTTCAGCCCTGCCAAAACTCACAGCCAAACCAGAGCCCACAGTACCAGTACACACCACAACCAAACCAGAGCCACAGCATCAGAAGCCACCAGAACTACAGCCAAGCCACCATCCAAAAATTCACTTCCAACCACAATCAGTGCCAAGCCACCACCCACAGCCACACTGCCAAACACAGCCAAACCCAATCATCCAACACTCACCTATCACAAGAGCCAAACAAACATCTGCCACCATGCTTCCAACAACCCCAGCCAGTCCAAAACACACAACAACAAAACACATCACAACTCTGGCTAAGCCTAAACCAACCACAACTCTGGCTAAGCCAATATCTGCTGCTACAACACCAGCACGTGCCACAACGACAGACACCACCGAAAACTGCCACAACCACAAAGCCAGAGCAGAAGGACCTGATCCTGCTGAGGCAAACAGAATCACTCTTTCCTTTGAGCCCATGTTAGACACATCTCCAGAGGTAGAGGCAGGCATTGAAGAGCCTTTTAGCTCCATCACTGAAGAGGATCTTCTCTTCTAACTTCATGTTCTCTTCCTTCAGTTTCTGCCCTGGACACAGAAGAACTGGAGCCAAACTCAGACCAGACAAGTGTGGATCCACCCAAAGGTGGAGCCCCCAGTACCTGCCTGGGGCTTTCCCTCTTCCTCCTCCCCAGTGCCATCCTGGTGGGCCTTCTGCTCTGAAGGGTCTTCCTCAGCTGTCCCTGCACCCCTCACCAAGGCTTTTGTCAGCGCTGGTTATTCCACAGCCCTGGTAGGCTCAGGAGACTCCTTGGACAATTCACACGCTCCCTCCTTACGCCGCCTTCTCTGCTGCAGCCCCGGCGAGCCAAGGGCAGCTGGCAGTCCCAGGGGAACTTTGTCCCCTTCCTGAGGAGACCAGAGGGCAGGAGGGTGTTTGCCATAATGCTGGTGACCTTGGACGCTTCTCCTTTTTCCTGGCTTCTGTTCCATTTCCAGGCTGGAAGTGTTGAGCTCTCCCACGCACCCACAAACCCATCTGGCTGGCAGGCCCTGCCACAGCGTGACCCTGGGGACAGAGGGTGACTTGGGGACAATGAGGCATGGTGGTTGGCTTTGGTGTTTGTCAGGATGCGTTTCCAGCAGAAATGCTCTTTTCCTTCCCAATGTGTTTCAGTTTTGGACATATGTTATCTCTTTCCTTTTTTGTCTAAATAGAGTGGCTTTTTTGAGGATTTCTGTTTTCCCCTGGTTGTGGTGTAGCTCTGGCCAGTACTACCCAGCTGATCCCCCCTCTCCTCCTCACACTCTGCAGCCCTTGCCTCCTCCAATGCCACAGATTTATTTTACGCGTGTGCCTGCACCTGTGTGCACGCACAGAAGAGAAACCTTCAGAGCTGAGAGAGGCCACCAGCTCCTTCATGTAGCTTTTACCTGCATGGCTTCATTCTTTGCATAATTTCTGTGTATTTGAATTTAAATACAGATCCTGCTTGATGTGAAACTTGTGCGTGTGTGGTCAGAGAAAAAACCCCCACATGTGTTGGTACAATCTGAGCTGCAGACATGCAAGTGCTGCTGTTACATGTCACTGGTGGCTCGGCAGCCCCAGCTGTGCTGCAGGACCCTGGCTGAGGTCACTGCCAGTCCGGCCTGACCAGCAGATGGCACTGGGAGAGGCACCGCTGAGAACTGGGC